AACAGAGATCCAGGAAGTATTTGGGGTCTCCGTTATGAACTTACTTGAACAATCAATGATATTGTGTGTGACATACTTTAATTGGGACTAGGACAGAAACTGTGCAGGGTTGGAGGTACCGGTATACTAAGTGTGACAGGCAACACAGACAGACAGGTGTGGACATACCTAACTGGAGGTGCATGGCAGGAATGAAGTTATGTGACCATTAATTCCACGGCTCACAAGCTAGGCATATTTGAAAGGTAAGTTTTCAGTATGCCGGTTGCATTTCTTAACAACAGCTAGCTATTACCGATGATTGTTACAAACCATTGGTACATTTTGCATCTCAGTGGCCATGACATAATGACACCACGTCTTTATACTATAGATTTAGCAGTAAAGCTGGATTGTTGGATCTTCATAATGTTTTGAAATAAGAATATGAAAGATTTCAGAAGTCCGAAATATTTTTGATTTTTTTTTTAATTCAAGTTCACAGACAGGGTAGTGTTACTGAACCAAGGAGGCCATAGACATAGGACCAAACCACAAACTTATCTTGAAAGTTCATCTAGATCTGTATACAAAGACTGGGCCGACACAGACTTTCTGCAACTTAATATCCACTGCTCACCAAGTCGTGTGTCATCTACATAACGTGACGTCACGGAAGCGGTGGATGCTCATTAATTCACAAAGAGTTGGTACTTGGTACCGTTCAGTCGAAAATTTGTTCAAGTCCAATTTTTTGTGTTGGAAATTACAGTTTGAACTACTCTCCAAGCAGAGGTTGGAACTCTCCAAAAAGATCATTTCATTACCTTTTAATATATGGCCCTTTTTTTGGCACTACCCCAACCAACGCGCATGGACCCTCAGTCTCTGGCCAATGGATACTGTCTTTTTGTCACCCTAGGATCTGCTTGGAGATGAAGTTTGAATCTCCTATAGCTTGGTAGAACAAATGCCTCCCATTCCTCTGCACAGTGACAGGTGCAGAGTGACACAAACCTTGGATAATTTCCCAGGAATTCAAAACATTGAATCTGAACTTCCTGTTTGTCTGCAAACACGATACTATGGTGGAATCCTTGACCCAAATCTGCAACCTTTCAAAAATAACACTGTTTCTGCTATTTTCCAGATCTCCATAGAACAGCATGTAAGTTGAGTAAAGGCAGCATACATGTATTTTACCTCACATACAAAAAGCTTGAAATCATGTCAATCTAACAATGTATGAGAAAATTTAACAGGGCAAAGACATACTTCTTACATACACTAAATGCAAATGTAATACGGGTATCCTATGTGAAGTAATGTCTGTATGTATTATAATACAATGTATTAGATTCAGACTTCAAAGGCAACTGGCATGTGCTAAGGTTATCGTAACAGACAACTAAACATGTTTACCTTATAATAAGACACTCCACTGGTTCCTAGAATCCCATGTCTTCCTCCACCAATGAACCTGACCTTGGGCATATACCCAACTTCAAGTTCAACCGTGAAATGGCTACTCCACCATAGGAACCTAAACACTTCCCTATCTTATGAGGGCCTGCATGGGGGGTCCCTACAATGCTCTACGCTAAATTTTGAGAGCCGGCTAGTGTATTACGCTGAAGAAGCATTACGTTTTACGACAAATTCCAGGTAGCTACAACGCATTACTTAGAACTAAATGATAAATTACGCTCTAAACAAATTCAGCTATTACGCTCTAAAACAGCCGATTACGTTCTACAGAAAAGAGCATGCGGGCCCTCTCTTATGCTCCACTAGTCACTACACCAAAACACCACCAAAACCAAGGTCACCCACCACACCGCATGTCACCGCCACAGGTGGCTTCAATCGTCCATACTTCAGAAAGATTTGTGCTGGGGAGGGCGAATTTAGAGGCTATGAAATTAGAAGGTAAAGGACCTTTCAAGGGCTGAGGAATTAGTTGGTTCCTGGGCTCAATGACAGATGGGTTCCGTCTTGACAAGAAGTCAGTCCAGTGCGATGTGGAACAACCAAGAAGACACGTTACACACTCACTCCCTCTCCTGGTGCGTTATAGACCGACTTCTTTCTTCTGGCAGTATGCCACTCTCCTTGAAGTATGCAGAGCCAGTCTGCTACACAACTTTACAGAGATAAGAACACTTTGCCTACAAACAACATGCCCCCCTCCCCCCTTTGGGCAAATTGGAAAGGAATCTGACGACATCTGAAGGTCGATCTACATTCAGCAGACTCAGGCAGAGATAGGGTTTAACTGATTGCTTGAACATTTTACAAGATGTCTGAGAACTTGCCTAACTTACAAGACCTCTTTAGAACTTGCTTGAACATTTTACAAGACATCTAAGATTAGTAGAGTAAGAATTTGGCTGAACATTTTACAAGACGTCTTAGATCTAGAATTTGCCTTGAACATTTTACAACATGTCTAAGAACTTGCTTGAACATATTACAAGACGTCTCACAAATTGCTTAAACATTTTACGTCTCAGATCTTGCCTGAACATTTTGCAAGACCTCTTCGAGATCTAGAAGTTGCTTGAACATTTTACAAGACGTGTCAGAACTTGCTTGAACATTTCACAAGACATCTTGATACTTTTCCCAGGGTTATACAAGTTCTAATGCAATCATTGCACTGGTCTGGTGTGTACGCATAGTAGATCTGCAGGAATATAATACTAATGGCAAACGAACAAAAAAACAAACCATCATATCATGTGGAGAGGACAAAGAGGCAGACTTGGATTAGACTCTTTATAAGTTCGTATTGGGTCCAGTTAGAGATCTACAATGACAGTGACCGGGCAGGACCAGACAGGACCACCATTACTCTAACTGACATAGCCTGAATCTCAGCAGATAGCCCTGGAGTACTGACAAACAAACAAACTAACTAACCATTGTACCATCTGAAGAGGACAGAAACAGACTTGGACTAGACTATATACCGGTAAGTTCGGAGAGGGTCCGGTTCTATAATGACAGTGATAGTACAGTCAAACCTGTACTAGCGGTCACCTTGGCATTGCGGTCACCCGGCCATAGCGGTCGGTTTTTGCCGGTCCCTTGAATTTTTCCCATTGACGTAAGCATTAAGAATCGCGTATATAGCGGTCACTGTTCAACGCGGTCAGCGGTCACCCCATTCCGGTCCCGCCGGCTGTCAACACCGCCGATAGCGGTCACGGCTGGCCGGCCGTTACCCGCTAAGCACCACGTACGTAACACCACCCGACCTCGGGCTACGGCCGTTAGGACGTTCAATCAAGCCTTGTGATAATTTTTGTGGCCGCTACATTATTAAAATGTGAACTGAAATTAGACTCCAGATGTGTATGAAATAAAGGAAAACTTGATTTTGACACGAAATTTTTGCGGTCGCTCGTGTTGACGTCCTTGATATCTGAAACACCATGCCGTGCGTGCCGCGGTGCTTTCAGTGGACTCGGCGAAGATTGCGGCAATCATCCTTACAAAAAACTTACGAATATCCATATTTGATTTCTCGATTCCTTGAAAAGCATAAATATGTGGCCAACTTCCCTTTTTCACGGGCATAATTCAAGAAATTTGGGCTGAGAAAATGCGTTTCGTGATTTTTCAAAATGGCGCAGGCTGCAACAACAATCAGGTCAATTGGGGTCATCGGAAGACTCCATTAGTTTGGAGGTAGATGTACCGACTTTTATTTAATTTTATAGCATCAAATGGCGTGATTACATTACAAAAATTTGGAATACATTATTAAAATCAATTTCCATCGTAAACTTAAGTCTGTAGTGAATATTCTACAAAATATGTAAGCCTGAAAGGAGCACTATTTTTGTTGACCACCACATTGGCATAATGGCAGAGGCAGACAACCCACGCCGGAAGAAACCGAAGCCGTAAACAAAGGAAAGTTTTCGCTACGTTTTCATGTTCAAAAATGACCAAAAACGGAAAATAAACGGCAACAGATGAACAATTATTTTGCTGTTAACTAAATGGACAGCATCTTGGTACAAAAAAATCTTGTTTACATGGTTGGAATTCGTTGTGGCGATGTCGGTCATGCGAAGCACTCACCAAAGAACAAAAACATGGCGATGTCATTCTCTTCCACTTTTCGACTTACGGTACTAGTAACGTGGCGATTGCGGAGAAACGATGGCAAAAGCGGAAAGACAGACGTCGAACTTATTTCACAAGGTGGATGTGATTCAACTGACAGCGAGTGAGAGGGAATTACCGGTCGAAGGAGCTAGATTAAAGGAGTTTGCAGTCGGAAGAAACATGGCTTGGAGTCGACAGAAACTTTGTTGCTTGATTCCCTTTCAAGTTTTCTGTAGGTAACATCGATGTTACACGTACACAAGAACAGTAAATGGCAACCAGTGATTTTGTATATTTTAGTGGGAAGGTTTCAGTAGTATCATGTCGAGTGCATGCAGTTTTGATACATAATTTTTTTTTCAAGCCCACAACTAAAGCAAAAGAACAACAATTGTATTATAACATGTAATGTTACATTTGAAAAGAGACTTACCTGTGCAATGAATGTTTTCATATGTTTGAGAATAAAGACATAAATACATCTTTGTTCAATGGTACTGAAAGCATGTGTCACTTGGGGGGGGGGCAACTAACCGCCATTTCTCTATAGTGGTCACCTGGCCATAGTGGTCAATTTTGGCCAGTCCCTTGAGTGACCACTATAGACAGGTTTGACTGTATCTGGTAACTGACCAGACAGGACCACCATCACTCTAACTGACATAGCCTGAATCTCTGCAGACAGCCTGGAGCGCTGACAAACAAAGAAACAAACCATAGTACCATCTGAAGAGAACACAGGCAGCCTTGGATTAGACTAAAGTGTCCAGTCTTACATGTATGATGAGAGTGAGCCTGGGTGACAGTAGTTACCAGACAGGAGCCACAGGACCACCATCACTCTATGATCTGACATAGCCTGAATCTCTGCAGACAACCCTGTAGCGCTGACAGACACTTACCAGTGGCGGAGGTTCCCGGGACTGCCCGCATCCCCTGCGCTTGGGCGTTCGACAGGGGCATCGCTCCGGGGGACGTGCTCGTCTGTGACTTGCTGTTCGAGTCGGGAGAGTCAGGCATACTGGGCTCTGATTGGCCTGGAGGACAACGGAAAAGAGAAGAAAAAACATTGTTAGTACAAATCAATGAAGTGTACATGTACAACGTAAACATCGCTCGTAAGAGAAAACAAGGAACACTTTTTCAGCAGGAAGAAGACATCACATCTAAACCTTGTGTCAAAGTTTTTCTAAGTCATAATAATCTCTGGACCCTGATTGGCCTAAGAACAACGGAGAAACAGAAAAACTTCATTAGTATATATAACGTTAACATTGTTCGCGAGAAAACAAGAAACACTTTTTCAGCACGAAGAAGACATCACATCCAAACCTCATGTCAAAGTTTTTTTGGTCCTTTAACTCTTGTAAAGGAAAAGAGAAGAAAACTTTGTTGGTACAACGTAACTGTCATTCATGAAAAGACAAGAAACACTTTTTCAGCACGAACAAAACATCACATCCAAACCTGATGTCAAAGTTTTTCTAGGTCGTAAAACTCTTGTGCAAGGTCCAAACCCGAACGTCCCTGTGGCTTTGATCCAGGAACAGCGTGTATATTGGTACTGAAGGCTCGCTTTACCGACAATATGATCCCCAAGCTTTGTCTTATCTCAAAGGCGTGTGCAGTAATGCTGTTAGATCTTAGCCTTGGTTCAACATCGCCTTGTAAATATCTATTTATACAGAGATAGAAGCGAAGTAGTGTCCAACAAGTAACCTGACCAAGGAAATGCCAGAGATAGCATCCTGCCAAACATCTGGAAGACATAAGCGGGAGGGGAGGGGGTAAAATATACTAGCAGTCAAGGTTTTAAAAATGCCAAGGTATAATTAGGAGCAGGACTGTACCTCTGGTGTTGATTCTTACCGACATTGCATTATAGTTATTCCCTGTCCTATCAAAAACTAGACCCACTTTACACTGCAGATTAGTGCAGCAAGGAAGTTCAGTCTACAGTTTTCATCATTTTGGAGTTTCAGAAAACTGCTCTTAATTTATCTGGGAAAACTCAAATCTGCCACTTTTGTGTTTATTGTTTCTTTTTATCAACTTCTATTTTTGTGGCTTCCGCTGCTGTGATATTCATTTCACATTGGTTTGTGGCTTTTCTGTCAACCTTATCTCTACCAGATACCATTTTGATAATGGCAAAACGCAATCAATCAATCAGCAAAGGCTGTAACCAACTCCAATGCCACTTCCAACTCCTTAATAGTTCAACTTGAGTTCTACAATGACTGCCAACATCTTTCCATGGTAAAAATACTCTGACAAATAATCAAGTTATAACATTGACCTACATACAGACCCACACCACAGCAAAACCGAATACATAGTCTTCTGACGAAGACAATAAGCAAAAATTGTAACCCCAAGTTGCCACTTCCAACTCCTTAATAGTTCAACTTGAGTTCTACTGTGTCTGCCAATGTCTGCCCCTGGTAAAATACGCCAACAAATAATATATAGTATTGAGTTATACCATTGACCTACATACAGACCAACACAACAGCCAAACCGAATACATACTCGAAGACAATAACTGAGCAAAAGCTGTAACCAACTACACTGCCACTTCCAAGTCCTTAATAGTTAAACTTCAAGTTCTACTGTGACTGCCAACGTCTGCCCCTTGTGTATACTTTCCACATCTTTGATAATCGAGTTATAACGTTGACGTACATACGCAACCACACCACAGCCAAACCAAATACATACTCTTCTGACGAAGACAATCAGCAAAGGCTGTAACCAACTACACTGATACTTCCAACCCCTTAATAGTTCAACTTCAAGTTCTACTGTGACTGCCAACGTCTGCCCCTTGTGTATATTTTCCAAATCTTTGATAATCGAGTTATAACGTTGACGTACATACGCAACCACACCACAGCCAAACTGAAGACATTCTATTCTGACGAATAAGCAAAGGCTGTAAAGCCACTTTCCAACTCCTTAAAAGTTCAAATTCAAGTTCTACTGTGACTGCCAACGTCTGCCCTTGTGTATATTTTCCACATCTTTGATAATCGAGTTATAACATTGACGTACATAGTACTACATACGCAACCACACCACAGCCAAACCGAATACATTCTATTCTGACGAATAAGCAAAGGCTGTAATGCCACTTCCAACTCCTTAAAAGTTCAACTTCAAGTTCTACTGTGACTGCCAATGTCTACCCCTGGTAAAATCCGCTGAGAAATAATCAAGACATAACGTTGACGTACACACGGGCCCCAACAGCCAAACCGAATACATACTCGAAGACAATAACTGAGCAAAACCTGTAACCAACTACACTGCCACTTCCAACTCCGTAATAGTTCAACTTCAAGTTCTACTGCGACTGCCAACGCCTGCCCCTGTGTATATTTTCCACGTCTTTGATCCAGAAGACCTACATGCAGCGCAAGGTAAGCTGGGACAACTTTTGACCTTCCAAACAGAGTAGTGAAGTTGTTCCATGAGCTAGCGCGATGACCTACGGTGGACTTTTCTGTCGAGCCCATCTGGAAAGGCACTTGACTGGTGAGCTGACTTCTGACTGTACAGAGGTGAGCCAAGAACCTGAACAACACAGGAAATGTCGACATCCCAACAGCTCAGAAGCTCCTCTGTTAAAATCACCAGCGATTCAGACAGGAGGATTTTTAGGGGGGCATGCAGGCCCTTTTCCGTAGAGCGTAATCGGCCATTCTAATTCTATACGCTCGTAATTGGCACATTTTGTGTAGAGCGTAATTTGCCATTTTATTTTACGTAATGCGTTGTAGCTACCCAGAATTTATCGTAAAGCGTAATACTACTAATAGGGGAGGCTTCTTGAATTCAGCGTAATACGTAGCTGGCTCTCAAAATTTAGCATAGAATGTTGTTAGGATCCCCCCATGCAGGCCCTCTTAAAATCACCAGTGCTTCAGACAGGACTTTTTCTTTAGTGAGGAGGGAGTAGCAAAATCAATGATTCGTGGAAAAAAAAACAAGGCTGGTCTATGGTGAATGGTAGTACCACATATTGGGACCAATATAAGTGATTGGCAGAAGCATGTCACCAACATACATGTACACATATGGAATCAATGTACATCCATGGTACTGTCAACAGATAGGTTCTGTCAACAGAGCTTGTTGTTTTTAAAGCGAAAAGTTGTACATAAAACATGCTCTGATCTGAACTAACAACAATATGTGGAATCAATCTAAGCTTCTCTCCATTATATAAGCCATAATTCATCACAATTAGACAAGTCATGAACTTAATCAATCAATCACACTATCAATTTTTGATGACTGATGTAAACGACAAAAGATAGCACTGATTATGGAAATATTGATTGATCAAGTATGGTTATTGTCAACCTATTTCCTGAGCAAAATATCTCTGACAGAAGGAACTATAATCTTCCTACACAAACAGGCCTGGGTTCCATCGAGCAAGGAGGGACAACACCCCTCCCCATAACTCTACTTCAAATACTCCTACTATACTACTTACTGTACACTATCTCATACAGATACACCTATAGCATTAGGGCATAACATAGAATCATTTACAAGCAGAGGTACTAAGGTTAGTGGGAGAAAAAGAAGGGACAATTTTGGAAAGAACGAAGAAGGAAAATACAGACTTTCTTCCGCCATCTGGTAGCAATCTGGGGTGTGATGCTCACGCCCTGGCTGGAAGCTCTGCTCAACTGAGGAAGTTTGAAGGGGACACTGGAGTTTTGTTGAATGGGAGAAATAGGAGCTCAGGGCCCAAGGGTAGAGCCGCATTCCTCCCCTGAACAACTTCCATGTGTGGAGGGGTGAGGACAGGGCCAGGTATCCTTGGGGAGAGAACTTGAAACTTCCAAGGAGCAGCGCCACAGATTGGCTACAGTGGCCAGACTGGGAGAAGATGGGCTGGCAGACTTGACAAGATGCATGTGTTTGTCTTCTGTGCAGGCAGTCTGTCTTATCTTAATGATGCTAAGTAGGCTTAGGATACCAGCTGACAAGGACATTTACCTGAATCAAGGTAAGGGGGAATAACGCAATGATAAATTGTGAACTGAGGCGAGCCTGCTGAGGCAGCATCTTCATTGTATACTGATATTGAAGACAAGACCTGTATTGATGTACAGTAAAAAGCATCATCATAAAAAAGGATGACGATGGGACTAAGTGATTAGGGCTCTAGTCTAGAAAAGTCTTTCCAGTCTCCTTTCCATACTGTATCTTATACAAACAAAGACAGTATAATCAATCAATAGGTGACAAACATCCATGTTTCAAACCCCACCAGCATCCCTATTTGTGATTTGATCAGTAAGCATTGACTTGATTTTTTTTTCTTGGTGGAGTATCCTATGAAACCCCTTGCTCAGCCTCAGAGAAACTCCAAAGTTTTTGGCATAGTTTCAGCATCTGTGATGCAACTGCAATGACGTAGCAGTTCAAGCTGCCTCTTACAATTTACAGACTTATTTTTCCCATCAAAATGTACATATGGTCCCCTCCTTTCTAGAGTTCCCTACTTTCAGTATCATCATATCAAACTTTGCATCCTCATCATCGTGATACCCCTTGCACCCCCTTTTACACTAATGGTTTGTCCCTGTGGGCTTTACCTACATTACAGGACCAGCCCATCCAGGCCCCCAGGTGGGGACCATGTGTTCCAGGGGGTGCACAGCCAGACCCAACTAGAACCATGTGCTGGAGGCTGGCTGGCTCCAGGGAGCACGCAGCAATCTCAGGGTGTTTGCATTAGCCCCAGAGATGACTAGATCCAGATTCCCAAAATTCCAACTACCCACTCAGCCTCTTCAGTAGGAGTTATATGAGGGCCGGCAAAACCCTTTTTCGTAAGGCGTAATCAGGCCGTTTTAGACTTCGTAATTCGTAGGCAGCCTCCACAAAAATCAACGTAATTCGTAATTGGACATTAGCCGCAAGTCGTAAAGTCGTAATCAGCTCTGAGACTTTAACGTAATTTGTAATAGGCAGCGAAAATTATTCGTAATCACTACCCCCCATGCAGGCCCTC